GGAGGGGGTGGGGTCTGTTTTTCCCCATCACTACTGCTCAGGGAGTGGGGATGAACACATCAAATGAACAAATGTAGAATATCGGAGAAAATGTTTAGGTGGGAAAATAAGAGTGAATCAGTTTTTAAAAAAGAGAGAGCGGCAGAACGCGGCTCACTCAGGTATAAGACAAACACACACACACACACACACCGACCCCCTCCTTTCTCTTTCTGAGGCTATCGGTCACAACAGAGAAAGAGAAAGGAGGGGGTGGGTTCTGTCTTCCCCCATTATGTCCCAGTGACACAACAGTCAGGCGCACAACAGACAACCTCGGAAAAAGAAAGGAGCGGGCAGAGGGGGTCTGTCTTATACTGTACCTGAATGAGCCGCACAAGCGGCATGGATTGTTTATTTAAAATAATCAAGCAAGAACATTGTTAAGAACATTGCAAGAATGTGGGAAGGGTTTATAAAGCCTTAAAATATATGTAAATACTAAAATAAATATAACGTCCCTACTTTGCAGATTGCTGGAGTGTCTGGAACATAACCCCCGCAATAAGTGAGGGACTACTGGTACATCACACTAAACATTCAATGTCGAATGGATGTGCAGATCATGTCTATATTGAGTCCGTCGGTCAAAGACCAATTATGGACATCTCCATGACATGCAAACAAGGTCCACTATGGATGGCTTACCATGACCTCGCTTGTACGTCAATATAGAGTCTAATGTTTGAACATCAGACTTGGAGGTCATATAGACATCCAAGACAGGTGTGCCATTGTCTGACGGACAAAATTGGCCTTTGGACAGTTTGCATCCAGCCCCCAAATTCTTATTTAAGAAGCAAATAACTTTGGAAAAAAGTTGATGATAACCTGCTAACATTGAAACTTGAAGTTTAAAATAAACATCTTTGACAAATACATTAAAAATAAAAATAAAAACATTAGATTAAAACAGGCTAAAACATTTAAGGTTTTTGTGTGTACAGATCAAGACTGAACTTTAAAGACTAGGTAAACTTTTTATTGTCACAAGAGCCTGTTTACAGAAAGTATGTCTTAAATTGCTAAAGAGTGTAAATGTGGAGACATATTTGGTATCAAGCATGTAAACTATGCTACAACAATAAAAGACTTAAAACAAGTCCTCCAGGTTATGCACCTCACACAAATTCTATTTTCCAGCTGTCTCTGTGACCCTTGGATTGCTTTAATTATCTTGATTTGGTCCTTTGGGAAAAATGTTGCCCATCCCTGCTTTGGAGCCAACAAGATTCAAAATGGCCACTACACTCACATGACACAAAAACGCTGCCAGTTGTACAGATATTGGGGTGAATTTTGGTGTATTGAGCATGATTTACAGCACATGTTCTGAGGGGAACATCTTAATGTCTCGTGAGATCATGAACGTTATGCTCGAGGTTCAATGTGAACATGAGATGATTTCAGTCTCAAACTCCATGTGTTCCTTCATAGACTCTAGGCTTTTCTATGAACTGAAAATCAATCAATCAATCAGTCAGTTAGTCTGTCTGTCCATGTTGTGAGCATGATAACTTGAAAAATAAGTGAGATACTGATTTCCATTTTGCTGTGGGGCTACATCTAGCTGTAAGAAAGGTTCTTGTCAAAAATTGAGTTGCCACGCCAAAATCCAAGATGGCTGCCACCAAATTTTATATATACAGGTATATATAATTTGGGAAAACTATGCTATTGCCCCCTGGCTCCTCCATCACTCCTGGTGATGGATAAAACTGCTCCGTCCTCTCCAGAATCTATCACTTTGCGTCGCCTCGGGAGATAAAATAAAACCTCTCTCTGTTCTCCACAGCGTAACTCCTACATACTTGAACATCTTGCACTAAAGACATTAACGTTTACTTACATTCAAAACTTCCCCAAAACTACATTCACTGTTCAAATCCCTCGTGACAGGGGACATCGGCATACTGCTTGTTTACCCTTAACGTCTGTAAAAAAGTTTAATTTTTTTTTTGGCTTTGTTGCCTAAAACTCCTCAAAATGTTTTGCCTCATTTCAAACGACAGCGGTTCCTCCGAGGTCTAGTCTGGGCCACTTTCAGCACTTTTGGCTCACTTACAGCCCTGGCAAGTGTCCCACAGGCCAGATGTGGCCCTAATATCATAAGCCAGTCTTGACATGGATCACAATGTTTTGAAGAGCCGGATGAGACACAAAGGAAATGTGGAGTTTGCTCCGTGTCACATGGATACACAGCAGAGTTTCAGCAGTTGTTCAGGCCCAAACGTGAGTCAAAGGTTTACAATTCCGTAGGTGGGAACTGAGATCATCATTCTGACAGTGAAATCATTTTGTATACTGGATATAGATCCAACATTGTCGAGGGGCGAGTGACTACAAGCAGGTCAGGTAGCACCATAAATCTCAGAGTAAAGACTTAGTGGTTTGCTATTATCTTGCTGAAATAAGCAAAGCTTTCCTTAACAACGATCACATATTTACAGGCAGTTTGGTTTTCCACTTCGCCTCAGTCTACCTCAGACGAGCTTGGTCAGAAGATGGAGGTCACTGAAAAAACTTCTTTTGATTGCTCAAACTGTTGGATCAATGTTTAGCAGCACGGTGTACCGTTTTTAAACTATGAATGGTTTTGTTTTTAATTGATGCTCGTTTTATATCAAATTTTGTTGCTTCTGGTGCAGCATTTTAAATGTATTATTAATATCCCAACTAAAATGATTAAGTATTTTTAAAAAGGAACTTATTATAGGTTAGAATTCACTGCTTTGTTTTGATTTATATTTTACTAAATGTGTATTTTCTCTCTTGTAGTTTGTCACAAAGAAATATTTTAGGTTTTTCTATCAGATGCATGCAGCCCGGGTCTTCTTTGCTGGATGGGACCACATATTGATCTAAAACCTGTATTTACAGTCTTGTTCTAAATTAATGGTAATTTTCCAAATGTTAAAGCTTTTCTTGCCAGTAATGCTAATGCACCCCCACACCAGAGAGACCAGCTTTACATGGCAGCTGTGGTTTCCAGAAATCACTTCAAATTTGGATCCGTCTGACCGCAGAACAGTTCTGGACTTCACCTCAGTCCATTTTAAATAAGCTCTGGACCAGAGAGAGGTTTTGGATGGTGTTCACATCTGGCTTCTTCGTTGTCTGATAGAGCTTTAAGCAGCATCTGTAGATGAACTGTGTTAACAGAACCAGACCTGGTTTTAACTCAGTGGCCACTGAGGGCCCAAAGATCACGATCCATCCAGCCTCGTTCTTTGAGCTCAGAGAGAGATTCTTGAAATCCTTTGATATGAATTTTTAGTTGATGGGATGTTCAAAGTCTTCTCAGTGAATCATGAATGAATCTTATCCGTGATCCCTTGTATGTGATAAACAGGTCTGACATCATAATGAGAGAACCGTCTCCATGACACGATGCTTGAACCACCACGCTTCACCGTCTCCAGTTCTGTGGCTCGAATTCAGCGTTTGGGCGTCGTCTGACAACCTGTCTGCGACCCGTGGGCTCAGAACAATCTTACTTTCAGCAGTCCACAAAATGTCTTTCCATTTCTTTTTAGGCCAGTTGATGTGTCCTTTGGCAAATGTTATCCTCTTCAGCACGTCTTTTTTTAACAGTGGGACTTTGCGGGGGCTTCTCGCCAATAGATTGGCTTCACACTGGCGTTTTCTAATTGTCACAGTACTCACCGTACTCTCTTTGATCAGCCTGGAGCGGATAATTCGCTGAGTTTTCGCCATTCTGACGATTCTTCAATCTGTTTGAATGGTAGTCTTTAGTTTTCTTCCATGTTTCTCTGGTTATGCTTTCCTTTTTAAAGCAGTGGAGATCATTTTAGCCGAGCAGCCTATGATTTTCTGCACTTATAGAGTTTTCCCTCTCCAGTCAATGTTTTAATTAAAGTACGCCGTTCTACTGAGCAATGCCGGGAACAACCCATTTTTGTCAGCTTTTCAGAGAAATGCACGTGCATGAGCTGGTTCATCCTTAAAGGCCACCTGATTGACACGTCTTCACAGAAAGAACGACCTCAGTAGTTGAAGTCCACACTGCTTTTATTTTGAACACAGCTCTTTCAATCAGATTCAGGAACAATATGATGAATGCTGGTTCTGTTGGGTTTCTGACTCTACTACACCTCCTAGTAAATTATTTTCTTTGTGGTAATACTACTTCTACCAAAAAACATTGACAGTCTAGTTGGACAGCTACTATTTCAAACACAAGTGTAGATGGAGTGTTTTGCAGTTCGGTGAACTTCTGCTCGTCTTTACTTCCAAGATTCAGCCTCTCTAAAGAAATATTTTTAGACCCAGTCCTCTTACTGGTCTGTTGCCAATTAACTAGTTGCAAATTGCTCCTTCAGCCATTTTTTTTTTTATCCCAACTTTCTTTAGATGTGTTGCTGCCGTAAAAACAAAATTACATTTTCTTAACTATAATTTCTTGGTGAATAAAATGGGAGTTTATGAGAATTTTATCGTTATTGATAACATTTTACACACCGTCCCAACTTTTCTGAATCAGGATTTCAAAATAAAGAGGCAGTGATCTTGTGATGTTTAAACGTATTCATATCAACCAATACAATAAACCCTGCAGTGTGACATCACAGCAAAACCCAGAAAACGCCAAGAGCTGCAGAGGAATCTAGGTTAAAGCCAGTTAAAAGATTTGCCTGTTAGCCATGCTCCGGCATGTGCAGCGTGGCGGCCGGGAATCAGGTCGACGCCGTGTCAGAAAACCACGAGTGAGATTTAAACCTCACAGGATCTGTTCAGGCTGCAGGACTGTCAGAAACAAGAGGCCTTTAAAGACTAAAGAAAAGAAAAGACAAGTCAAAGATAACAAAGATTAATTTACTTAGAAGACTAATTGTACAGCCAAAAAAAAACATAATATTATGCCAGTCATTAACATTTTAGGCAGCCAAAGTCAAAAACTGGTGAATCGGAGTCACTCAGGGAGGCACTTGTACTGCTGGGGTTATAAATGTGAAATTAGTTTTAATGCGTTCTCCTCTAAACATACTAGGGATTTCACATTCAATTAAATTTTTATTGTTATGGAAGTTTATTAAAATCTGGACATAAATGTTATTCGTGTCACAAAGTAGGGATCGCCTGTCCTAAGTGTGGACAGACGGGGACTCGGTTAGGAAACGAATGATCTGTCCATCTAGGTTATTGTCCAGTGGGACCGCTGCTCTGCCAGGAGAAGTGGTTCATGTCGAACACTTGCTTCTACACGTCCTGTGGTTGCACCGTTAGTTGGCGCTCCGCCGAGCGTCTCTTCTACAGTTTGGCTTTTCCCGGCTGCAGCTGCAGGTTTTGGAGCTTCATGGCCAGGCCCATGTTCCCCGTGATCTTCAGCTTGCCCTGGAAAAACGCCTGGGAATCAAGAGGGGATGGAGAGGGAATCAAAAATGTTATCAGAAAACCTTGGAATCAGAGGCAGAGTCGAGGGGGTGGGGGGGGTTGGTCAGTGTTACAGAGAACTATGTGCTGCTGGTTTTAAGAGTTACCGTGAGAGATTAAGTCAACCCGGTAGGAAAAGTGGGGCAACGGCAGCAAAGGCTTATGACATGTCAGGAAACCGTGTGGCACACATGCCAAAATAAACGAGCTGAAATCACTAAAACGAGCAGTGGATGTTGAGAAATGACCACTTTGACTCAGTGGACACAACTGAGGACGGTTTTATGACACAAAGAGGCAAAATGAAATGATCCACTTGTCTTTGTGTTGAAAAGTAACCAGAGATCCAGATTGATTTCCTGCAGCACAAACTCTGCAACGTTCACAAACAGAAAAGTGGAGGTAGTTTAAAAATTCTAGGTTTGAGCATTAAATGACAGAAGGTGCCACCTCTCTGGGATTCAAGAGATTCAAAACACTGCACAGGAAATCTCAGAGGAAAAGACCCTCACAAAGATCCTCCCCCAACATTTAGAGCCGCGATTAAACTGCAGCCTTTGATCAAATAATGAGTGTGTTTTGATGACATCATTTTAGAGTTATTTGATGGAAATCAGGCTTTCTGCAAGTTTGAGTTACTTTTTTTTTTTGAAGAACATTATGATTTTAATGTAGGACATGCAACTACAGTGTTGTTTCCTGAGAACATGCAGGGTGAACGCTTATTGCTGAAAGACTTCTGCTGAAAACGTTTCAGCTCCAAACGGTTAATGTGAGCTGAATTTGAACAGCTTAGGAAAATAAAAGCAGAGAAAAATGGCAGAAATAAGATGAAAAAGGCAGAGAGGGTGAAAAGATGAGGAAAAAGAACACTGAAATGAGCAGTAAAAGGTTTGAAGGAGGTGAAGAAGGCTTTAATTTTCAACTATTCTTGCATGAAAACATTCGGCTCATTCAGGACATTCCTGGGACTTCTGGTATCTGTGCACTTTTTACTCTATGAACTATTTAGCTTTGTCTGCCATGTTTTTCTCATTGAAAATGAATGGAGCTCTTCACCTCCTTCAAACCCTTTGAGCAGTTTATAACCTTTTACTGCTCACTTTAGCTTTTGTTGTTCAGATTTCATCAGCTAATTTGATGCTCCTTTCATCTTCTTTCTACCAATTTCATTTTTTCTTCTTTTCTAGCTACTTTTTAGGTATTTTTCTGCTAATTTTAGCTTTTTTTCTGCTTTTATGGCCTTTTGTTCTTCTTTCTAATAATTTCAACTGTTATGTTGCTTTTAGCCTCTCTGCCTATTTCAGCTTTTTCTACACATTTCAGCCTTTTTTTTTTACTTTTATTTTGTGCTTTCAGCAAATGTCAGCTATTCAAATTCAGCTCACTAACAGTTCAGTGATGAAACCTTTTCATCTTCTTCAGCAGCTTTCAGCATATTTCATTAATACGCATTCACGCTGCATTTTCACAGAAAGTGACACTTCTCTAGCTTATTCCCAGTTTTATTTGGGCAGTTTCAGTCCTCAATAAAAAGCCAAACACAGATCATGCGATGAACATGGTGCTTTATAAACAAAGAAGGAAATCCTTGAATACTCACGGTCTGTGGATTAATCTTCCCCGTCATCAAAGCCAACAGGTCCGTGTCTGACAAAGAGATGGTGCAATCTGCTTTCTTATCTGAAGGGTGGAGATCAACAGCACTTTAGGGTTAGACGTATGTCTTTAAGTTTAGACTAAATCTCTACCTCTTGTATTGATAACACAGGGGTTCCCAACCCTGGTCCTTGAGGAACACCATCCTGCAAATTTTTGTTGTTTCCTTGCTTTGACACACCTGATTTGAATCAATGGGTGACTAACAGGCTTCCGTAGAACTTGATGACGTAATTAAATCACTGAATCAGGTGTGTTGGAGCAGGAAAACTCCTCAAACATGCAAGATGGTGTTCCTCAAGGACCATTGTTGGGAACCACTGGTTTTCCCACCTTTGTCATTGTGAACACAGCCTTTGCCATTTTTTACATCCACCACCCACGTTGCCTCCTGTCCATCCGGGCCATCCTTTACTTTGAAGGCAAACACTCCTCCGATCTTTTTCACAAACTGCTCCCCTTCCTACAATAAAATACAGAAGAGGTTTTACATGTTGTGAACCAAACACTTCTGCACTGCATATGGCAAAACATGTCATATTTCTCAAGTGCTAGCCAGACATTTTAGAGACAAAAATAAGCAGTATTAAAAAATATATTTTCACTGACCATCTATATGTGGCAACACACGGCTCGAGGTCCAAAAACTAAATCTGTTGTGAGTTTTTGTACACTTGAGGTTAACTTTGAACAATTTTAGAACCTGGAAAAGATATTGATACATCCTGATACATAAAACCATAGAAATGAGTGGAACTGATTTTTCTCTTGACTTTACACAATATCACCCTGAAACTGCCACAAATGCATTTCTCTGGAAAAACTTCATCTGGTGTGAAAACACAACTAGAATAGATTTTCAAAGACAAGACAAAAAAAAATAATATATATATATATATATATATATATATATA